TCACATCAAGATCCAAAACACCTATTTGGAACCTTACCAGTGGACCAATGGTTGAGTCTGAACATCCACCCTTGAGAAATATCCAAATTACCCACAACAACTAGACTGTAGATACAGCTCCCTATAAATTACCCTATGATGACATCCTTTCAAATACCAAGTACATTATTAACCAAAATAACTTTACAAACACCAACTTTAGTACTTTGGGAAAATAGCTGACCCGACTAGAGAAACATATACAAAGAAGTATTATCAGCTCAATTGGCACCAAAACCTCAAATGATCTAAAACTAAAAAATTCAGTCTTCAAACCTTATCAAATTACACAAACCAACCTAGCACAAATCCAAGAAAACCAAACAGATTTTCTCAGACCCATCAAAACACACTTACAACACATTAATAATTCATCCTTAACTGTCCTAGATACACCACAAACAACCAACCCATCTACATCCACAAACCAAGTCAATACCTTATAAAATAGTCGTGACCAATCTTTTGATGAAGATGTCTTTCCAAACCAACTTCTTACACTAAACAACTTACTTGGACAACTCCTAAAACAACCATTGCCCCAGATATTTCCATCCCTTCTGGACCAACTATTCTTAACCAACACAAATTCAATGCCTCCTCTCTCTATGAGTGAAACATAGAAGGAATGTCTGAATACAACATTTTAAACACCCTTCAATAAATGATAATGGTAGCCAATGCCTACAAAACCCAAACAGGAACCCCAGACAAAGCCATTGCTGAACTCCTTATTGCTGGTTTTTCTAGCCAATTGAAAGGATGGTGGGATTATCATCTTACTAAAACAGATCACTTATATATCTTAAACTTCTTACAAACATATGAAGACCAAACACCCATCTTTGATTCATCTAGAAACATTATCCAAGATGTTGTATCAACCCTTATTCTTACCATCTCCTTATATTTTGTCAGAAACCCTTTCCATTTAAAAGATAAGAATGCTGAACTCCTTTCCAACCTTAGATATAAGAAGCTCAACCATTTTTAATGGTACAAAAATACCTTTCTGACCCGTGTAATGCTCAGGGAAGATTCAAACCAGCCTTTTTGGAAAGAAAAATTACTTGCAAGCTTGCCTATTCTCTTAGGAGAAAAGGTCAGAAACAAAATCAAAGATACCTTCACAACTAAAACCATACCTTATGACCAGCTTATATACGGTGAACTTGTAAGCTTCACCCAAAAAGAAGGTCTTAAGATCTGTCAGGATCTTAAACTCCAAAAACACCTAAAGTGGGAAATGAAATGCACTAGACAATCTTGGTAGTTTTTGTCACTAGTTTGAAATTTCCATAAAAAAACCCTCATGCAGTGGAAACTGCTCAAAACCCAAAACCTATTCAAGCCAAAAACCTCCTTACAAACAACAAACCCATAGATGTCGAAAACAGTTTCACTCCAAACCAAAACAGACCTATTACAAAAAAACCTACAAGAAATTTACCAAAAGCCATAAGCCTTTCCAGTTAAAACCCAAACCAAAATTTGACCTTAAAAATATTACTTGTTACAAATGCAACAAGAAAGGACATACATCCTGTTTCTGAAAAATCAACACCAAACTCTATGAGCTTTAAATAGATGAAGAAACCATCAACCAAATACAAAACCTATACATTGAAGCCACAAACATAGACCCCTTTTTTTCAGACAATTCTGAAAAAGAATTTCAAAATGATGAAATAGTAACTTCTAATACTACTTCAGATACCTCTACAGACTCCAAACAAGTCAATGTCCTAACCCAAGACCAAGAATTTATCCTTGAGACCATAAAAAGACTTGATGATTCTCAGCTCCAAAAAACCTATTTAGATAAGCTGTTGAAAGATTTTAGCAAATTAGAGCATCTTCCTTCTAACCCTCCAAACC